TGTTGTTCTTGCCGGTTTCCCGCTTAACCGAATTTCTCAAGTCCTAGATTTCAAACACGTCTGGAAGAAGCTGAGGCTGCGAGTCAAAGGAAAGGTTTAAGTACATGGATGCGGCGGGCAACATCGAATGGCGCTGCTGGCTTGTTCTGACAGCATGGTGTTATCTTGCAGTCATTTGTGTGGGTAAGGAATAAGAGGTGGGGGAAGCACTCCCACACGCTTGCCGTTCGCCGTTCTCTTCATGTCTTCTAGGGCTGACGGCGAACCATGCTTCTCATTCTTATTGCTCTTTCTCTTTTGAGCACGGCCAAGCTTTCAATCTTGCAGGCTGAGCTGGACGGAATTCTCAGAGTGGAGATGGGGAAAGCCACACTTAGAGGGGCCAAGTCGCTGCCGGCATATATACCTTGGTTTGAAGGGCAATGAAATCACGCACGTCTCCAGGCCATGCAACGATTTGCACTGCCTGCGGTGTTTGAAGTCTTGTTTGCCATCACCCAATTATCTGAAAGCCAGTTCTGGTGTCCAAAGGTAAGCTGCAGAAAACTGAGGGCAGGAGAACCGGCTTTGAAAACAGGATAGCTGGTGTTGAGAACCAAAATTGCTTTGGGCAGACCACTGGTTAGTTAGACGCAACTTGGTTGCGCAAAAAGTAGCTTGATGGTATCCCGCGGCGGCGCAGGGCTTTGTCAGTGCAGTGCATCGTATTCCCTTTTGCAGGGTGAATGTGCCCTTGAGATTTGCAAAAAACACACCCAGACACCCGGTGCTAAGTTCTTTGCGATTGGTAAGCCACGGTTAGTCAAGTCCGGTGGAGTAGAGTCTTCGAAGAAGAGGAGGACCGCGACCATATTTACAGGTTGATGGATTTGGGTTTATTTTGATCGAAGCCAGGCACAGGCTTACTGACATCGTTCGAGACACGCTCAGCTACGAGAACTTGGAAGATATGTACCGTGGACTGAAGCTGATCGATGAGGACGCGCGGCTGCAGCGTGGTCGAGGGACTGCGCAGTGGCAGGACAAGGCATGTAAAGGCACATCTTGCGGCTGGCGAGGACAAAAATGTTGAAATCGTCGAATTCAACGATCGGCCATGAGCCAAGTAGCCCTGGGCGTGTTGTCAGTGCCTGTCTCTATAGGGATGTGGGGAAGGTATCAAGCTCCATTGGATGGCGGATACCGTGACCTCCAGCTCACGCTTCGAGTGCAAGGCATCCTGCCCGCCTTCAGCAAATTGTTCTTAATCCTAAGCTTTGGTGTGTTAACTTCGGCAGCAGTGGATGGGATTTCGCCCCAGGTGAGTTGGTCTGCGAGCTGCAGCTTACAACAAAGTACATGCTCTTCATTAAGGCCACTGCACCCAGACCGCCGTTGCCAAGTTTGCGGTAACCTGGTTCTTTCTGTGCCAGGAGTCGAGTGGGCACAGAGTCTTCGAGATCAAACGACAGCTCATTGCCGATGTAGCTGCCAACAGCGAGCCGCAGTGTCGGGAAACACTCCACTGGGCTGGAAAGGATGCTCAGGCAATGTTTTTGTCACCGCGCACAAAGTATAGCTGCTTCTGCAACCATAACATTGTCTAGTGCTGTGGTGATGGCCTTGTTATTTCTGCAAGATAATTCGCTTACTACCATCGTTGTTGATGCAAAGACTCGCATTGCTTTCTCATGAAGGTCGAGCGATCCCAACCAGGAACCCTCTCCAAGCCTTTAGGAGATGTAGTTCGACGGTTCGATGATGAGGACGAGCCTGCTGAATTGTAGCGTGGAGCCGTCTAGACTGGACTGCATCCTGGACAGGCTGTGCTGAAGGAGCCTAAGAAGCCTCTGCTCCACATAGCAGCTTCGCAGGGCAACTCCCGCATGGTGTATCCCGGCTTGTTGGAGATGTCACTAGGTGTGGTCTGCTACAAGGGGGGTCCTTGCCAATAATTGATCAAGTTGCACAAAGTTTTTTCAAACAAGTGGTTACTTCAGGATGCATGCAGGTCTGTGTGTCTCGATACCAATAAGGTTGACATACCAAGCAACAGCGCGGTTCATTGCGCTCGCTTAGTCGTGCCTGAATCCTTTTGCAGCTCCACACCTCTTGCTGAGGAAGCTCTTCCTTGACAACAATGCGGATGTAAACCTGAAGGAAGAGACTACTCAGCGCACGGCC